TGTTACAGGCGGGGTGGGGGGCGGAGGCCTGGCTGTGCTGAAGTGTTAGGCCAGCCGAGCTGCGTGGCTCAGCCCCGTGGCCCTGCAGTGGAGCCAGACCCAGTGACTCTCCCAGGGGCACCCCGGCCAGGACTTGGCCCCAGCTAGAGCCGGAGCTCCTGGGCCAGCCCGTCCTCTCCTGGGGGCGTTGGGAAGGATGCTGGTGCCTGAGAACACAGGCCTCGTGTGGGGTCCGGAGGCCCGTGGCCAGCGCCCTGGGGTGTAGGGGCTACCTGGCTCAGTGTCCTTCAGAAAAAGGCCCAGCCGGGTCAGTGGTGGGAGAGCTGGGAGAAGGTAGCGTCACAGCCCTGAGACCTGCCGGGGAGCGCGAGAGGGGTCCGGCCCGGGGATTCTGCCCCGCTGAGCACTCTGGCCCCGATCCAGCGATGTATGTAAGCACGTGCTTGAGCTAGTCCTCTGGTGCGCTGGGGGTGGGGTCCAGAAAGGCTCCTGGGTCCTGCTGCAGAGATTTCAGTGCCTGGGAAATGGGCGGGACCCGTGTTCAGTCCCGGTCGGCCCATTGGACCCAGCCGTGGCAGGTGAGTCGGGGCCCAGGGAGGTTCCCAGTGCTAGGCTAAATCCCCACTCTGGCATGATGAATGCAGAAGTGGGGGCCCGCAAAAGTCCCCCAAAACCTGAACCCTCCAGGCTTTGGACCAAAATGTCCCCCCAAAATCCTAAAAACCTAGATGTTTGGGGATAAAAATCCGCTGCCACCACCCACGTAATGGTAAGAAAACCTGGGGAATCCCCGCCCTGAAGTAAAACCAGGACACGCAGATTAACCAGGCCATGTTAATAGGGAAGGAAGAACTTTTACTGTCACCACGATACTCCTGTTACCAGTATAGCGACTGGATGGAAAAGTCACCAGTTAATAAACTCGCGGGGATTCCCCGTGGCCAAAACTTAGTTGCAAAGAGAGGAAACCCCATTTCTAAAGCCTGCTGAGTGCCCAGAGCCCCGACTGGCCGTGCCCGAGGAGACGCCTGCGTTTCACCAGCACGGATCCCTTCAGGCCGCTGGGCTGGGGGGCGGCAGGCAGCCCCCGTTCGCTGTTGGGCGAGTGGCCGGGCACCTCCCGCGCCCCTGCCCCTCCGCTCGGGGACTCGCAGTCAGGCCAGGCGGCACGGCTGCTGTTTGCGGGCCAGGTTCACAGCTGGCGTGCGCCAGAGCGTCCATGCCTAGGCGGCGAGGCCCCCGCCCCTCTGCTCCCAGCCGTCCCCACAGCGCCGCCTCCCCCAGCCGCATCTAGCAGCACTTCCTGCTGTCGGGCTGGGCCCCAGTGGGGCAGGGAGGGGAGGCAGAGTCTTCGCTCTTAGCCTCCTTCCTGCGTGGCTGGGCGCGCCCTGGGCCTGCGCCGACTTGCACGTCAAAATGAACCTTCCCTCCTCGCGTGGCAACATCAGGGGCTAGTGAGTCGCCCGCCCCCACTGTGGCCTTAGAGACGTTGGTTTTGCCTCCGCTTCCTAAGAGCTGCTTTCTGCTCTCTCACCTGCCGTCAAACCCTCCTCGGCCGGCCGGCCGGGCCTAGCGCTGGCTCTTCTGGAAACACGAGAGTCACCAGCTGAGTCCCGGCAGCTGACCCGTGTTTTCCCAGCTGCCTGGGGAGGGCGGTGGAGGCAGAGGCTCTCCCGTCCCTTTGCCTGGCCCTGCTGTGGCCGGCAGGCGGGGCATGGGGTGTGCTGCCTGAGGGTTGCTCTGGGAAGCCTGCTCCTTGCCGGAGGTTGTCTGGAGGGGGATGAGCTGCGCTGAATCGGGGCGGCGTGGGTCCTCGCGCCCCCAGCGGGGCCCCCCGCCTGTGGCCGAAGAGATGAATTTGCTTTTGCTTTCTTGCAGGTGTCGCGATTGCAGAACTGTCTTCCACAAGAGCTGCCAGGACAGCGTGAAATCCTGCCCCCGCTGCGAGCGCCGGCAGCGGTACCAGCAGCAGCTGCAAGCGGCCGGCCCTGCG